AATGTTTTGGTGTCCTTTCTCTCATACTAGGAGAAGGAAAATACAAAAGCAACCTAAAGATAACTTATGCTGCTTATCCTTTCTGTAATTTCTCTTCTTTAAGTAAACTAAACTGAAGTGAAATGTGTAAGGTGTAATATGAGCCACCACATTTTTTGAAGATGTGACGTTTTTTATTTCTGAAATTAAAAGAAAATATCCGACATAGTTTAAATAAAAAAAAAAACAAGTAAAGAAATATAACATTTACACTGGCTGATTTCAGTTACTATTTCAGTGGAAAAAATAAGCTGCTTTGTCTTATTTTCAGTGTGAGATGTGGCGAAAATAGTGGTTTCTCAGCACGTCTTCACTGAACTGGTAGGTGAGTTTCTTCTTGACTTTTTTAATTTCTCCAGTTTTTCCATAGTTCCTCAGTGCTCTTGCCATTTTTTGGTAGGTCATTTTCTTGCGGTTTCCTTTCTGAATGCCCCACTGACTGGCCAGGACCTCCTTGTGTTTGGTGGAGAACTGGAAGATTCCCTTGTCCTGGTCCACCCACCAAATACTGTCGCTCATATCACCATTTCGGAGCAAGTCTAGAAGGAACTGGTACAAGCGGATCTTCTTCTTGTTACCTACAAAACATGTAGAGTTTCAGCTGTTTGTTCATTTAGCATTTAAAATTCTGCTACAAAATGGGCCACTCACTTGTGTCTCTTCTTAGAGATGAGAACCTGTGAGATTCATATTCATCTTCTCCTTCTGACACCTCCAGTGGTGGACTAACATCCCTCTGTTCTTCCTCTGAATAGTAGTGGACAGGTGAGGGGGCTGGTGGGTACTGGTAGCACAGTGCTGGGCCATAATATGGGATCTAGGACAAACCAAACCAATATTTTTCTTGAATAAAATTTTGCATTTTTGTGTCAGGACAAAAAGATAAACATAATAAGAATACAGATATAGGTGTTCTGATTCAATTCCACAAAAATATGGTGAGCTGACCTGATGCACACTGCACTACAGAAATGTATGTTGAATTAGTGAAACTATGTGCACAAATTTGAAGCCAGTTTTGGCTATCACACACTCAGTCTGACATTTTCATTTAAACACTGACACTGTGATAAAAAAGGGGAAGTTGCTTTGCAAAATAGTTATTAACACTGGTAACAAGATTGTGCTGATTATTTTAGAAAAGATATTATCAAAAGACTGTACACAATTATAATGCATTGTTATAAATACCCAATGATACTTTTTATAATATTGTTTATTATGGAGTTAATGCTTTCATGTAATCTGGCCTACCATGTCCTTTACACTGTTGTATCTGTTAACAATGAACATTATAGGTGTCTTGAGAGCACTTACTTGTGGGGACATTGACAGAGGGATGAGTGGAGGGTCTAAGTGAAGAGGCAGTGCTTCAGTGCTGTAGCGGAAAGGCTGTGTGAGCTGCTGAGGTGACACTGACTGCAGCTCGGTCAAATGGTTTACGGGAGAGTTATCAAAGTCTGGTGGCTGCACGCGGTCAGAATGCAGCGTCCACCTGTGCTCTGAAAAAATATAAATATAAGTTAAACATTGGTACAAAATGTGTTTATAAATTTATTTTGGACATTGTATTGTCTCACCTTCATAAATATCCCCAACATTCAGGTAAGGATAGAGATCAGCTGGTGGACGATATGGCCCAGGCTCATTTGGAGCAATGTCCTCTGAACCCTGAGGAATAAATTGGCTTATTATAAAACACTTATATTTTTCTTCTTCAAATTTTTTTTCCAAATTGGCATTTTAGTACTCAGATTTGCACTGTGTATTTAAAAATGAAATTAACCAAACAACAATATGTGGTCTGGGGTGTAAATACTTACAGCGATGATGTATCCATCCATTATAAAGGAGCAGAGTGTCTGTTGATGTTGAGTTTTTCCTACTGCTTTACTGTGTCACTAACTTCATTAGTCATATAGGAACTGAAACTGAGCCGTGCACTGGACTTCACTGGCGACATTTATATCAGCCAATTATCAAATTCATACTGTGAGTTAGTTCCTGATGACCACATACTCAATGTCAATCTTATTTCTTTATGATATGTTGACATTTTTCTGTGGTGAGAAATTTACTTTTAATAATCAAGCAGCATAATTTAAGGAAGGGTTTAAAGTAGACTGGCAATATGCAACAAATAAATTAATAATTTTCCAATCATGATTTTCAGTTTAACTGTATTTGGTATTATCAGTATTGATTTAATGAAAAGAAAAAGCACAGGCTTATTGCCATTTAAGACAAAAAATAAATAAAAAATCAGAACTCTGCTCTACAAACATGAACTTTTGCTGACACAGGATTGACTGTTGACTAAAAGCCCCAAGCTGATCACTGACACGCCTGAAGATTGGTGTTGATTAAAATTGATTAATTGCACAGCCTTAGTTTTAAGTGATCTACTCACTACACCCTTCCTGTACTTGCTTTAGTAGAATATAAAGTGACACAAAATAAGAGATGAAACTAAAAGCGAAGTTTGGATCTGGTCTGTTCCTCTTTTAACTGGGTATTAGAGCTCAATTTGAGGAAGTAAAGCCATGAGATCCACCCACAGGAGTGAGGCCACTGTGTCCCGTGTTTGAATTTAGATGCACAAATCACTTCTCTCCACAAATATCAGATTTTATTGCGTTGGGTATGAAAAGAGAATAAAATTATGGATTTGATGGTGCTTCTCCAAAATGCATGCATCACATGAGGCTACGTAGTATAATTATTTGTTTTCATTGCATAACAGATTGCAAAAAAGTGCTCATGTTTTAAATTGTGAATGAGGAATTTCCTGTTTACAACTTTGTCCATCTGTCTGGTCTGTACGTGCAGGGCTTACGCTCGTAACATACAGTATGGTCGGGCTTGTCTTGAAGCTTTGTCTCCATCTGCTGGACAGAGATGTCGAAGTGACCATCATCTAGAGACGATTCACAGCCGTAGAGGGGGAGACAACCAAAATAGCACAGCGAGGCCCATGTTTATCCCCTGCCTCTTTACAATTGCCTATTTCATTTATGCTTGATTGATTGTAGAACTATGAAGGCTTGTACAATGCATCTGTGTTTTGCATTTGCGCGTATTGCTCAATTTCCTCCGCACCACCTCATTCACTGACAGCTTGAGCCAACCCAGCCAGCCATCCATCCCGTGAGCCAGGACCGGAGCGCGAGCCGTCCCGTGGAAACAGCGCGGTGTATGGAACATGGCTGCGATGAGGACTTTAACCGTGGCGGGGTTGTGTTTGGCTTTCTGCGCCTTGGGGCTTATAGCAGTGGCGCTCAGCACTGACAATTGGTACGAGACGGACGCCAGGAGACACCGGGAAAGATGCAAGACTTACTCCAATAAAAGAAATGATCCCGGCTTCATATACATCTCCAACCTGCCTCTACGGATGCTGCCAAAGGAGAAACACGTAGAGAGAAAAGGCTCCAGTGTGAGCGGCGAGATGCTGCTGCGGGCTAAGCGGCACCTCTCGCCCCTAGCCTCGGCCATGGAGTCGCTCTGCAGTCGGCAATATAACTCCACTATCACCGGACTATGGAGGAAGTGTCACAGAGAGGGATTTGACTTGGAAACGGAGGATTTAATCTTTAAAGGTTTGTGCTTTGTTTTACTGTTCACGCGCCTTGTGTGTGTTTTGTATTGGCAGCCTTATTGTGTCATGAATGCGCTATCCAAGGTGATGCGCACAGCCCTTTCAGGCCTACGCAGTGCTTGAACACGGAGTACAGTAACAATCCAGTGCTGATTTTGCCAGAAGGAGCACGCTGTAGTAACACAGATAGAAAGGATAAGCTGCTGCACTTGTCCCTTTGTGGTGTGGGTGGACGGGTGGGTGATGGAGCATAAAGAGGTGCTTTTGGGAGGCAGAGAGGTGAGGGTGTGGGGGTGGCAGCAGAGAGCTTTGTGGTATCCTGTCTCAGCGCCTATTTGACTTATGTTGTTTACACGCGCAGGATTGGTCCCACGCTGCACGCCAATAAAATACTACTACTCATCTTCCGCGCTGCCCAGGAATCTGCCTGTCAATTTGACTAAGACCATACGCCAAGATGAGTGGCACGCGCTCCGTGAGTGATTTCAGTCTCTTCTCCATCTATTTAAGCTGTTACTTAACATGTGCACAGATCGTCTCACTCTGCCTCTGTTTGTATTTTTCCTAGATCTCCAGAGGATGACAGCCAGTTTCATAGGTATGGCCATATCTATCATCTTGTTTGGCTGGATCATAGGCGTGCTGGGCTGCTGTAAGGAGCATGATCTGATGCAGTATGTGGCCGGACTGCTCTTCCTCATGGGAGGTAAGAGGACGCACTTTACATAAAGACTGCACTGCTCAGTCTCACCACCAAGGGGCAGCGTGAACGCAGACACTGTCCAGCTTTGCTCTGCACCACTAAATTAAAATAGGTTGTTTATTATTGAGAGTGGTTAAATGTAATATAATGTGACTGTTGTGTAAAGTTTCCAGTGCAGTTTAACATGAACTAAACTTAGGCACAAATTACAAATGTAGGCTACGTGAAATAATAGCCCCTGCATCTATTATACATGGATTCTTCTTTATTTATCAGTGTCACAGTCATGGCTCTGCAAACACATCCAGTTACCACATATTTTTGTTTGTATGTTGTTCACTGAATTGTTGCTTGAAGGAGCATTATTTCTACTATTTCTGCCTCACTCGTCTCCATGGAGAGGTTATGGCTATGTCCATACTGTTCCACAGCATGACATTGGCCACATTTACATGATGTTTTTTAATCCCGATTTAATTATTCTGAATTCACTTATTTTTAATCTGAATTAAAGCTCACATGTAAATGGGGCAATTTTATCTAATTTGATATTAAAAAAAACAATCATGCATGGTAATGCTGCTGTGATGTCATCTTGATGCTATAGGACCTACCTATAGGAGTTTGGTCCTATAGGCAGGTGTGAAGTCTTGAGTCTAAATAGTTACCTTCTTTTGTGTCAGGGACATGCTGCATCATCTCACTCTGCACCTGTGTGGCTGGAATCAACTTTGAACTGTCACGCTATCCACGCTACATGTTTGGGATCCCAGAGGATATCAGTCATGGTTATGGCTGGTCCATGTTCTGTGCATGGGGTGGGCTGGGCCTGACTCTCCTGGCTGGTTTCCTGTGTACTCTGGCCCCCTCCCTGTACCCCCCACAGACCCCTGTGGCACACAAGCCTCGGCAGGAGAATGGCTGTGTGTGACAGCGCTCAGTGTTCATGCAGACATCAGTGTGGAGCCCTGCTGTGGACTTTTACACGGGGACTCCCCTTTGAGACACACCTCGCACATGGACTCAAGGAGAGACTTTACCTGAAGAGAATCACAGTTCTTCTGGTGCTTCTTTTGCTCCATCTTTCTGAATGAACTGTTCCGTGTTATTGCCTGCTCTTCAAGAGGAGAATAGTTATACAAAACTTTCTGCTGAATCTGCCAGTTTGAAAAAAGAATACTTGTAACTGGCAGGAAACTGATAGCACAACTTTGAAATCTGTATTGAATATTATGATGTGGTCTGTCACATTTCAAAAGGGCAACTGTGTATCATGATGTATTCATCAAAAATATTTACATGTATTTTCAACTGTATGTATGCAGATGCATTTGTGTTTATTCGATGAAAACATGAAAACATTAAGACCGCACTGTGTTTGAGAAAATGTTTTGTTGTTCTCAAGGTCTTAACAATGGAAATATTTTTAAAGAATAAAAGAAGCCTTGCAAAACTGCTTTCTCCTTCCAAACATAACACCAGATGACTGTTTTAGTCTTTGGAAGAGTTTCATTTTTGGATGTCTAATAAAAATTGGGTAAGTCACTGCTTTTACAACCAACCACAAGAGCCAGTGACTAAATTTTTTACACTGCGTGACAAAGCCAAACAAGGAAAATCAAACAGACTACACTTGCCTAGACTGCAAATGCTGCATTTCAGTAAAAATCTACATGGTAAAGCACCAAGGAAGTCTATGTGCTGTGTTCACAACCTGACCCCTGCTCACAGTTCATTCAACTCAGCAATAGGGACTGAGACTTTTGTATTTCTGTAACAACTTTCAAAAGATGCTGTTAAGATAAAGCATCTACTATGTCCATGTTATCACAATGACACCTTATTGTGATCGATACTGTTATTTGTATGTGTGTATGTATATGTCAGGATTAACATTTAGAGTGTGTGAGAGTGATTGAGTGGGTCTTGTCACACTGTCGCTGACTGGAAACACCTGCTGTGGGCATACATGAAAAGTGTTGGGCGTATAGTCATGTTAAAGCAGGTCTAATTACTCCATATGGTCTGAGTTAAACATGCATTTTTATGAGGTCACTCCATGTTTTGCATTAATTCTGTGACATGGTGTGGTCTCAAACCTCAAAAAAACAAAACAACAGATGTTTTACTGTGTTATTTTATGCCTTGACTGGAAAAATACATAAAATGCTATTTTCAGACTAGTTGATTGAAGGAACTAGGAACTAAAATGTAACGTTTTGGTTTTCTGAATGCTTTCCATACAAGTTTAAGCCTGAATTATGATCTCTCAAACCCAATTTCCTAGTACATGAAACACTGTTTAAAGGTGCACTGCGTAACTGTATCAGTTCCACAGTATGGCAATAAATGTACCAATCTCCATAGAGACAGGTTATACCACTTAGCTACATTGCAGGTGTGGAGAGGTAACCCTGCCTATAATAATGTGTGTATTTTTGGCTATAAAACCATCAATAAATGTACACTAGATAAATTTAATTCCATACTGTGAAACATTCCTGTCAAAGCCATAACATCTCCATGGAGACAAGCTACCTCCAGACAAGTGAAATAGTGCACCTTTAATAACACTAAAATAACAGCAAAGAAAGTATGCACTGATTGTTTAACGTAGTAGTTTCTTTAATATTTCCAGTGGGCTCAGCAATGTAAGCACGGCAGCTGCTCCAGGGAGGCATTGGATTTTGGGGTTTGGTTTTTGGCACAGAGACGGATGAGTGCGCTCCCAGATCAACACTGCTCCACATTCCTGACCTTTTTTTGTTTGTCCTTTAAATAAGAGAGAGAGAAGAGCAGACATTCTTCTGACAGTAAGCCCCAGGCCAAAATAAAAGGGACACTACCCAAACACTGAACTTTTTTTTAATTTCACTGAATCATTTGAGCTACGATGGACAAGGTGGAAGGTGGACATGGGTGGACATGTTGTAAAATAAAGTTTATGGCAAGAGTCAAGTCTTTTAGTCAGTGTGGGGAGGATACAAAAGTGAAAAATGTGAGCAAAATGGTAAAAAATATCTGGTAAAAACTGAACAAACAGTTGCACAAGTGGTTTTGTTTCACCACTCAAAGAAGATGCTAACAAAAAGTCAAAGGGTGATTATAAAAAGTAAAGTGGTAAGTGTAAAGATGCTCAAAAGTATTATTTGAGGGCCAGTTGTTTAAAACACTTTATGTAGGAGGCACAAATATTTTTATATTTAAAACTATAAATAGATTTTATATTTAAACCACTGCATGCTATGAAATACATTTTCTTTGGCCATCTTAGGAACAGCAAAAAGGACACTTGACACTAAAACATACCCAATCAGAATAACAAATTACTTAGGAAATTTTATTCAAATCCACTGGTTTCCTTTTGCATTTAATAGCATATTTTTCCCTTTTGCCATATTTTTTTGACTGTGGTGTTCCAGAGGGCTGTTTTTAAACTTGGGGGTCCCTCTGGAGAGAGGGGACTGTGAGGAAAACCAGACGGAGGAAATCACACCCAGTTTCACCCATCTGGTTCCTTCACATGTGAGCACATTATCTCTGTCAGAAGTGGGCACAGCGTTGAGCTCAAGCTACAGACAAGAGCATTTTAAACAGTAGTTATGTGGAAAGAAATACCACTAACTGGCTTTAAAATATTAAATACAGTGTGTAAGTGAAAACAGCCTGACAGTAGATGGTGATGTGGAGGCCCCACAGCGCTGCTTTTCAGGAATTCAAAACAAGCCGGCGCCATAAACCTCCGGTGTCTCAGAGAGGATTTTGCTGACACAAATGGAGATGAAAAACCATCAGAGGGATGAGCATCCAAAGTACTGTCAGCCCAGACATTTGAGATCATGTAAACATGACAGAATGACATGAGGAAATAAAAGATGTCTGCATGGGGACTTTGCATCTAGATTAGCATGGTTCTCTTTATGAAGATTAAAAATGACATCATATTTTAATAATCCACATGAACAAAATAAAATAAACAAAGAGTGACAAGACTGGCTGGCTCCTGACACCAATTACACACAGCCACACAAAGGGTCACACCAGCAGCTGCACGCCCCAGTGACTCCATAAAACAACAAAAACAAAAGGAGGGTGGGAACATGAAACCAACCTAGTCCTTGTTTAAGGTGCTGTGGCTGGCCTTAAAAATAAGGAGATATTGAATGGCTAGTTTGTATTAGCTGTGCAAGCGTTTCCTTCATTAACTTAACTTAATTTAATTCATATTGATTCAGTCCTGTGCATCCAAGTATCACTTTGGCAAATTAAAGAGATATGTTGATCTGAATCGTCTGTCAGTTCTTAGGAGCCTGTGTTCAGATACTCAGTTTTGAGGCGGCTCAGTCTCGTGCCATGACTGCGCACGATAAGGGACAGCAGCTCGTGCTTGTCCTTGAGTCCCTGAGAGATGTCCGTGGTCTCTCGCAAAGTGTCCTTGATGTCCCCCACTTGCTTGAGCACGTGTGCGTTGAGCTGCTGCTCCTCGCGCAGCTCTGTGTCTTGACTCTGTTTGAACTTTACTTCCAGCTCCAGCAAAGACTTGTCCACCCCGGAGAAGGCTTCACTGATTTGGGAGATCTCCTTCCGGAGGAAATTGCCGTAACTGTCCTCACCGTCCAGGTCGTGCGTAATCGTGCGCCCGATGCTCTCCAAGAGGCGCGCGGAGTCTTCAGCCTGGAGTTTAGTGATGATGAAGTCGTCGCGCACCGCGGTGTCCTCGTGTTGTGCGGCGGCGCACGGGGACACGTCTGAAAACTTAAAAAGCATCTGGCAGAGCTCCGGGTCCTCGGTTTCCTCGTAGTCTCCGTCAGGGACAAAGAAGTGGTGGAAGGTCCCGTTGGTAATCTCGGGCTGCAGGGGCCCCATGTAAAGCGCCCAGCTCAAAGGGCCACACGCGAGCAGGACAAGCAGCAGAGGCACCGGCTCCATCGCGCGCTCCTCCGTGTCTGCCTCTTGCGCTCTGCTCCTGAGCTGGAATGGTTTGGTCTGGACTCTTGTTACACGGTCCCCGTCCTCACAGACTCTCACTGCCCACAGAGCCAACAGGGGCCCCTTGTGGCCCCTCCGAAAACACAGAGAACCACAGGGGAAACATAAGCGTGCGAACAGTATCTAAACTTAGTTATTCTCATTCAGTGTCTCTGATGTAATGTGTCAAAATGTTCCTCTTAGATACAGAAAGATATCGACATGATGCAATAAGAAGCTTTAGGTATAGTAAGTGTGTAATTTGTTTTTTACTATGTTATTCATCTCTCTGGCCAAAAAACAAACAAACCTCATATTGTCTCTAAAGAGCACGAATCCACAAAGGCACTGTAAAACTAACTCTGACTAAATGAACCTCATCAGCTCAATGACAGTAACAATACTTGGCTCCGTTGACACAGTAGCGTAGCCTATAAACAAATTTTTGCCTCGTTCCCAACTTGAATCTGATGAAGGGAAAATTAAAAACAAAAAACAAACAAACATTTGTGCATTTACCCCGGACACTATAGCTCCTGTCAGTGTATTGCATTACCCGCTAGAGGAGGGTCCCCATAGGCAGCTCCAGAACTATAATTTATCTTTACTGGGTGGTCTCAAATACACCCGTTTGTCACCACCAGAAAACCTGTGGTTAGTTTTTGAAAAGATTACTAAAATGAGGTCATGCAGTTTAAAGGGCCCATATTATGCTATTTTCTGATGTATGTTACAATGTTGCTTCTTCATCAAAAACATATATACCTGGAGTCTTGTTTTGTTTCATGCATACATATTTAACACACCAACCCTGCATATTTATGTTGAGTTCCTTCTCAAAACTCACACCTTGTGATGTCATGTGGTAATACTGGAAGTGCTCCATTGTGTTTTTAAGCCCCATACACCTTCACTAGAATCATTTGGATAATTTCAGACCTGAAATCGCCAGTCTCTGAACAAAAGTTAAAAGGAGCTGTTAAGTTGAAAACTACTGCTTCATGACATCACAAGGTGGAACAGAGCATCTTGGGCTTTGGAGATGTAGACAGTCTGCTAATGAAGGGATTACTCAAATATGTGTGAATGAAACAAAACACAACTCTCCATATGTTTTTGATGTGGTAACAACATTATAATGTGGCTTTAATATCACAAGAGTCAGTTTTGCATAATATAGGGCCTTTAAGAGGTTTGTCTGTCTTATGCATCATTGCAAATGTTGTTAGTAATAAATATAAATAAATAATCAAGTTTGCATTCAAACTCCATAACTTTTAATGTGCTTACATAAATGTAGTAGGAATTTATCTCTGTCATTAACATCTTAATTTAGCAATAAATAAATGGATCTTCTTATGATTTTCCTCCTGAACCTATATGTAAATAAAAGTTTCAGTGACTGTGCTGTGGGACATTCCTCGGGTCTATATAAGAGCTCATTATGGGCCTGGGCTGAGGTCTAATATCCTGCAGACTGACGGGGTAATGAGGAGCAGGTGGGACACACAAAACAACAGTACAAATATATGGGCTTCATAAAAATCAGCATATTTTCATCTCTATAAATCTACACTGTGAGATTATATTACATTTAATTACATTTAAATTTATAACAACTGTTTAGCTGTTAAGAGGGAAAAGTGAGTTGTTTGTAATTTGTAAATCACTTGTGTTCTGACATTAAGGGCATTATGCACATAACATTTCAATACATTTTTGTTTTACAGAAAAGCATATATTTTGGCTTTTTTTCTTTGCATGATTCTGGATATGTATTGTATTGTGATATTGTATCATGAAGTTCTTGGCAATACAATACCTAGCCCTACTTCAGACTGACATGACATGTGCTGTACATTTTATAACGGCAAATCCAACAATACCCAATCTAGATTTATGCTAGATGTTCATACAGTTTAAAGGTCCTATATGTGTGTTTTAATGATGTTACCGAGCTATGGGTCTCCAACCTATAGCTCTCCACCCCCTTACAATGTTGCCAAAGGATCTCTGAATTATACATATTGTACTAAATAACTCAAATTTGATAAATTACCACTGTAAATGTGTTATTTTGAACTTTGTGTACTAATAAATGGATAATGATTTAATGTTTTATAGGCATCTAACTGTACAGCATCTAAGGCTTGCCCTCTTATATTGACTCATTTTCTTGCAACCGCTAAAATGAGTAGCTCTCTGGGATTTTCATTTTGTAAAGGTAGCTCACCAGACACAAAAGGCTGGAGATCCCTGTGTTACCTCATCAAAAACATACCTTGTTTGAGTAATCATTTATTATTAGTCTGTCAACATCTCCAAAGATAAAAGGTCAAAATGCTCTGTTCCAACTTGTGATGATGTGGTGTAGTGGTAGCTTTCAAGTTAGCTGCTACCTTTTGCCTTTTGTTCAGTAGAGATTGGCAATTCCAGGACTGAAATCATCCAGATGATTCTAGTGAAGGTATATGAGGTTTAAAAACACCGTGGAGCACTTCTTGTATTACCACATGGCATCAAGCAGAGTGTTTTCTGTGTGAGAGAAGAGCTTAGCCTAAATCTTCAGGGTTTGTGTGTTAAATATGTGTCAATGAAACAAAACACAATTCCAGGTGTGTTTGTGATCAGAAAACAACATTATAACATAGATCAGAAAATAGTGTAATATGGGCCCTTTAAACGTTTTATATAGTTTATTGTGTCCTACTTTTATATCCCAGCTCCAATAGAAAGACTGGTATACAAAGACTATTAAATTCACACATACAGTAGATCTTGTATTTGACTGCTTTGAGCGTATTATTCCTCAAATCCCTAGAAAAGGCCAGTAGGCTGCGAGAAATCCTCAATAGGTCACTTGGAGGTCGCTGGCTTAAAACAAATCTGTATCCGCAATGGGAGCCCACACTGGCTTTAGGTCCAGTCATTTCTTATGTAGCTTTTTCACTTTGAGACAGTCTGTTTGAAAAGTGCTGCTGAATTGAACACTGTGCTGACAGAAGTACACAAGCAAAGAAATCTCAAGGCTTCCAGGCATGCAGGCTCTGTCTCCATCTCTACCCACACCTGAATAAATACTGGTTCCCTTCACATAAACATTACTGGAACTTCTTGCCAAAGCAGTGCACAGGGCTGTAACAGGACTTTTGCATGTACTTATGTATATCTTGTTCTTACGGTGTTGGCCCTGGATTTACATGGAGGTCGGGGCCTAGAGGCAGCAGAGGAGGATGACTCACAATGAACCAGAGTTACCTAACAAGCAATTAAGCACTGTGAAACCCTCATGTAGCCTATTGGGTCCTAAAGAGAGAGTGTGTTAGTGATAGAGGAAAGTTACGCCTGTGCTCAAAATTGGTATAAAATGAAAATTATTTATGATTGTGCAGTAGAAGTGGAAATAGTTTAAGGTCCTATATTACGCAAAATTGACTCTTGTGAGCATTTAGGCATGTTAGAATATCTTTATCTTTTCAAAAACACATTCAGCATTTGGTTTCATTCACGCATGTTTGAGTAATCCTACATTATTAGTCTGTCTACATCTCCAAAGCTCAAAATGCTCCATTGCACCTTGTAGTTTTTAAGTTAACAGCTTCTTTTACCTTTAGTTTGCTACAGATTGGCAATTCCAGAGCTAAAATTCTGCAAAAGATTGTAAAGGTGAATGGAGTTTTTTTTTAAATGGAGCACTTCCTGTATTACCATGTGACATCACAAGGTGGAACAGAGTGTTTTCTGTTTGGGAGAAGAACTCTGCCAAAATTTGCAGGGTTTGTGAGTTAAAAACACAACACAACCCCTCTGGATATGTTTGTGATGTTTGCATTATAACATATAGATCAGAATATAACGTAATATGGGACCTTTAAAGGTGCACTATGTAACCTCATTGGGGTATGTGAAGTTATATGCCATACTGTGGAACATTCTAAGCAAAGCAAAAACATCTCCATGGAGACAAGCAGTTAAGGACTCTCCACCACAAATTATATGTAAATTTAAAAATGCAATATGTCCATTCAGCTTGGAGTTATATTTACAGTGTATGTTACAAACACGACTGCAGCAGTTATCCCATGTTGTAATCACTTTGCACTTTGCTCCTGACGCTTATAGAGTTCAAAGTTAGACCTTCAGTTTTGCTGCTCTATATCTCTGGGTCATTTTCACATATACTCTCAAATAATTTCTGATGAGTTTTTTGGGCGTCACTGCTGCATTCATTATGGGAGTATAAATAGGTTTGGTATTAATCAACAAGAGCACAGTAAGAGCTAGAGCAAAGGCCACAGGGGAAATGGATGAGATGCGCACCCACCGTGGCGTTACAATCAGGGGCTCAGATACATCTCATTAAGTTCCACTAGAGAGCCACCAACAACAGGCCTCTGGTATACTGGACTTTTCACCCTGTAAACAGTAGAGAATAGTTGTTGGATTGTTCAATTACTCCCTCACTAATTCCACGCACGCACTTGTTTATAATGCATTGTCAATTGTTAGAATATTTTCTTTTAAAAATTAGGTCCAAAGTAATCTTTCCAAAACATTTTAAGGATGTAAAATGTAATTAGAAAATTGTATATCCAAATATTATTCAGCTCCATCTTCAGTTTAAAATCATTCCAAGAACCCACAAATATTTATATATCCCCACACCCCTGTGAGGAAAACTGTTGTAAAGACTTATAATGCACTGTAGACGGCACGAGGTCATGAAACCTCATAAAAAGGAATAATATTTTTTATAGGTGGTGATATAATAGTTAAAAGTAATATTGTGAAATAATAAAGGCCACAACAGTGTGGTTTCAACCTCAACAGCACAAAAAGCTCAGTATATGAGGCAAGTAGAAATTTAATTGCGTTTTACAAGATGGACAAGTTCTGGAAGAGCTACAGTTGGCAATTATTACATTTTCTTACTTGGCCTGGGTGACCTGCGGTTACAGAAACAGAGGATATGGCTGCCATTCTTCTCCAGCAGCAACTCAAATGCACTATGTACACAGGAAAGGTGGGCAAAGTGTCTTGCCCAAGGGTATTATTCCCTGGCTCTACCTACCCAGAGAATAGGAGAATAGCTG